CCATCCATCCATCCATCCATCCATCCATCCATCCATCCATCCATCCATCCATCCATCCATCCATCCATCCATCCATCCATCCATCCATCCCTCCATCCATCCATCCATCCATCCATCCATCCATCCATCCATCCATCCCTCCATCTTCTTCCGCTTATCCGGGGTCGTCGTGGGGGTAGCAGCTTCAGTAAGAAGGCCCAGACTTCCCTCGCCCCAGCCACTTGGTCAAGTTCCTACAAGGGAATCCCAAGGCATTCCCAGGCCAGTCATTGAGAGATACTGACGGGACGAGGAGGAATGGGGCTGTATCATCTAGATCCCACCCCTACACTGAACTATAATAACAGATTTTCTAAATTACATTTTTTGCAGAAAAAAAATAAAATTATACTAATAAGAATTTATTTTTTATACCTAGAAAAGTTTACACATTCTAAATGGTAATTTTCATATTTATTAGCTTGACTGAATTTATGACATCTGAGAAACATTTCTTCATAGTCAAAATAATTAAAATAATGACCTGTAAAAAAATAAATAAATGCCATCAAGCATAATGGCAATCTCTACAGTCACCTCCACAAATGCGAACCCACTCCTTTAAAACTATAAATAGCAATAAGGCAAGGAAAACAGAAAGATTTAGCCTTTCAGTTCACAGGTGATAATAAATAATATATATAGATAATAAATTACATTGATGTCAGCAAATCCCTGGAATTATTACTCACTGAACCTTTAACATTTTCGTCAACAAAAATACGCTCACTCAGATCCATTTTTAACACAAAATTTCAAGTATTATAATACATTTTGATTTAATTAGCACACTGTCATTAAGTGGGATGGTGTGCTCAGGGAGTAGTTAAGTAATAGCTTTCTATCTGACCCAACTTTAAACTTCTAAATATTTCCTGCCCTGTCAGCTCCCTTTGTTTTTGTGATGCTGTTTGTTCAAAAATATTGTGAAGCAACCTTCTGAAGCTTTTAACAGGTGTAATAACACAAACGGCAACTCTTTTTAGGTGACTATTAAAGACAGCTGGACGTAAAGCATTTTCTTTAGGGGTGTCGGGTAATAACCCACTTTATGTCAATTTATCACATAAAATCTCAATAAACTAATTAAATATAGAAGTTTGTAAGTGTAAGGTCATAGAATTGTGGCTTATGTGTTTGACTTTGGAATGGCACTGCATGCACAGCCTTTGCAGCTTCAACCATAACGTTACATCACCATAAACTACTGGTACAACACCCAGAAGTTCTCTGTTATCCCACTTTCTTTGCGCTTACTATTAAATGAGCGGAAGTCGTACTTTCTTCCAGAGAAAGTATCCACATTTTTACAAAGTCTCTTCAATAGAGTCTCCTCCTGGGCCTAAAAATATGATCAAGTTTATTTTGTAAACATGTAAAAGAAAATCTATATATTTCGCTGTGTAAGTCCAAAAATAAACATTTAGGGCTTTTTTATGCAAGAATTTCGCTTTGTTTAACTCAAATATCTGCCGCGTTGGTAACAATTTTACTAAATTAAAAAAAGAGTCCCAACATTTCCTGATCCTGAAGATTTTTCATGAGGACCATTTTCCTTAAAACTATTAAGGTTTTTGCCAATAGCTAAGAACTGACAATATTTTCCTAAGGACTGACAAATTTTTCCTGAGAACTGATGAGGTCCTAAAATGTACATCATACGTCAGGATGACAGCAGAACCCCTTTACATCTGATGCTGAATTTCAAACCTTCACTTAGGCTACCATTTGCCCCTAAAGGGTCTGGCAGATGTTTTGTTATTGTTGCTGTTTGTTTTTATTTTTCTGCTTGCCTTCAGCTAGGTCTTTTTCCCAGGGCTGCCAAATTTTCACCAAACCTTGAGGGGAGATCTTGAAATAATTTGGTCAGGAAACCTGTCAGGGTGAGATGAGGACAGGTGCAGCAATAGGTTGGAGGTTTTCAGAGGATTTAACTGAAACTACCGGTAAGTGGAAACATTTGGAATTTTTATAGAAGAGTACATTTTATTGAGTAACAATAAGTGATCTGTAGTTATGTGGAACATTTTACTCACAATATACATTATTTTCTACATTCTGGTGATTTTTAGAGAATTGAAGTAAAGCAGAATGGGCCTTACTAAAATACTTGCACCTTAAATATACTTTAAACTAAGAATTTTACAACTTTGTTCAATAATTATTCTCTGCAGTTCAAGTAAATTAAACAATGGGGAACTAATAAGCTATCACTGGATTACTGGCACTGATACAGGAACCAGTGCAATTGAAACCTATGCAAATTTTACTGTGTATGAATATTTGGTAATAGGCTAAGGATTCAAAAGCTCCATTCGTATGTTATTAGTTTTTCTTACAATTGACAAAACGACTAAACAATTCAGTTTTTTCTAGGAGGCTGAAGATTTTATAAAAACTCACCATGACAGGAGACAGCACTTCTCTGGATGTTTCATTTGGAAGGTGTGATGGAAATTATGTTTTCAAACATATTCAATGGACCAACATAAATATAAATGAATAAGATGAGTAATAATAAAAGAACATCCCTGTGGTTTCTCCTCTATGAATCCAGGATAACTGAGCTGTTCTGCACATCCTCTCTGGATGCAGTTGGTCTTTTCTTGGGTGGCTGATCTTTTGAAAAATAAAATTCAATGCTTCTTTTTCTTTTTGTGGAGCTCTTGTGGGTTTGAGAGGCAAAGCTTAAAGCTTTCAGAATTACAATATTTGTGTTGGTTTAATTACTCCTAAATGCCTATGGGAGATTATTAAACTAGACAGAGAAATAATTATTTAACTTGTGAGCAAAACATGGACTAAAACTGGGACTAAAAAAAGCACCAGGTAAAGAGAAAACAAACCATTGGATGTGATCTTTTTTAGTGTGAGAAATTGGGAATATGAAGTGAAAATTGTGTGAAGACACTGAAAGAGTTGAGTCTCACTCCCAATGGGTGAGAGTTGACAGCCCTGTGTTCCTGCTGCCATTGGTTTTACCATCACAAGACCCATGGTCCATTTACTGATTTAAATCAAGGTCCATTTCTGGAAAAGCTTTTTCATTTTCAAATTTTACATTTCAAATTAAATTTTGGTATGTATTTGCTGGGGTAAATTTTTAAAAATAAATCTCAGATGTCTTTTTCTTTTTCATTTTAATTAAGTGAAAGGATGAGCAGTCTTGAAGAAGAAAATGAAAATGCTAACAGGATGATTGATTACTAATTTCATTTATGAGTCAAACAATGCAGCCACATTCTTAAGATGAAAAAACATTTCCCGAAATGCTTTTTCATCTTAATCATTTCAAATAAAAAAGCATTTCCCGAAATGCTTTTTCATTTGAAATGTGGTAACGATTCGCTTCCATACACTCCAGCATCTTCTAAGAATAAATACAAGATAAAAGGGAAAAAATGCTTGTTCAACGTGTGCTTTTGGCGCCATCTAGCGGTGATTTTTCTAAGTTCTCGCGACATCTCACCACCATCAACGAGATGAGCCATGGCAATAGAAAACAAACCAGAGGAGGAATTTGACACAGTTTTCAGTCTAAATGACTCCCTGGAGCTCTGCTCCCATTCAGAGCATGACTGCGGAAAGGCTCGCATCTTCAAGATAATAGTCATAGGGGACTCAAACGTGGGGAAAACGTGCTTAACTTACCGCTTCTGCGGAGGCACTTTCCTGAAAAACCCAGAGGCAACTATCGGGGTGGATTTCAGGGAGAGGACGGTGGAGCTGGACGGAGAGAAGATCAAGGTGAGGTGGCTAAACATCCTCAGTTACACCTTCTGAGATATGCATGGACCGCTCTTTGTGTTGTTTTTACCCTAAAACTAGATTAGCAGCAGTCTGAAACTAATTTATTGATTTAATTAAAACATAATGGCCTACAGCGTGTCATATTTTAGTTTAAGTTAGGGGTTTATTTTTGGAAAGCTTGCTAAAGTTCAAAATCAGACTTATTTATTTAACACTTATATATTCAATTCAGTTTATTTATATAGCTCCAATTCACAACACAAGTCATCTAAAGGCACTTCATAGTTTAACCAGATCATCCAGTCAAATTGATTCAAAGTTTTCTATCTAAGGAAAAAACAGTTGATTGCATCGACTCATTGACTCAAAGGCAATCCCTCACACTAAGCATGCTTGTAGTGACAGTGGAGAGGAAAAACTCCCTTTTAACAGGAAGAAACCTCCAGCAGAACCAGGCTCAGTGTGAGCAGCCATCTACCGAGGCCGACTGGGGTTCAAGGAGACAGAAGCAGAGATACAAAAAGCAGCTGTAAAAGGCGGCTCCGTCCAGGAAACACACAGCAAGGCAGACGAGCCCCGAGCCAGCTCCCATGTCAGAGTTTGAAGAGAGCACATCCAGCCAATCACGGTCAGAGAAACAGGACTACACTGGAAAACGGGCCGATCTCCAGCATCTATAAACAAGGGTGTTGATGGAAGCAGCACAGCTGATATTTCTCTCCAGGATGGTGTCACAGCATATTAGATCCTACAAGCTGAAATGCAGAGTTGCTTCATCTCGAGACAAAGCAGATATATCTCAATCCTTAGTGACAGATTGACACAAAGCAGCTTTTGGGATATATAGAATAAAATATTTGCTATCTATGTTCAGACCTCAATCCCTGGACAAGAATATTTAGGTTTCGCCAGTGATCCTCCATTTGATTAAGGTTTGAACTTGGACTAGACCATTCCAAGAAGATGGAAAAGTTCCTTCCCACACATTTTCCTCTAGGATAAGCGTATGTTTTTGTTAAGTCCATCTTCCAAGTCAGCTCTGACCAGTTTCCCAGTCTGCGCTGTAACACAGAGCATTCCCATATCATGACTCTACCTCTACCATGTCTCACACTTGGGATGGTGCTTTCAGTATGATGAATAGCAGGGGTCGGCAACCTAAACTGTTCAAAGAGCCATATTGGACCAAAAAAAAAAAACAATCTGACTGGAGATGCAAAAATTTAAAAGTCTTCTATAAGCCGCGTATGACAACATAGGCTCTAAATGTATTAGCCAACTATAAAAAAGGACTATGTGGGCTTAAATATATAATAAGGATTCATGATTAAAGGTTTATCCTGGAGCAAATGTCATGTCATTTGAATATTTTGCTGTACGATATGGGAGTGTTGGCCTAGTGGTTGCAGCAGTGCTCTTAGAAAGCTGCAAGTACCCGGTTTGATCCCCATCAGCCCCACTCTGGGTCTCTGAGCAAGACCCTTAACCCTACACTGCTCCCTGGGCGCAACACAATGGCAGCCCACTGCTCCCCAAGGGGATGGGTTAAATGCAGAGAGCTAATTTCCCCATTGTGGGAAAATAAGGGGATCTAGTGCTTCAAATGTAAGTTTCATAACAATAATAATGTATTAGATTTTGCTGCAATGATAAAATCATAGTAATACAATAAAGAAATCACATATGGGGTGAGGATTTTGGGGGAAAATAAGGGAGTAAAATTCGCATACCTAAGTCAGAGCACTCCCTGTTTTATCTGTAAACGGTTTTCCATGCTTGTAACAAAAACAGCAGCAGTAGTGGAGTTTAGAGACACAATCCACAACTTAAATCTATCTTTGCTAATTTATCCAGAAGAACTGCAATTTAATTTTTTCTCTCACTCTCTCATTTGGTGGTCGGCTGCAAATTTAGCATGCATTCCCTGGACATGTTTTCCAAATTACTCTTTTTATTATTTGACAACTTCTCATTACAAAGCAAACATACAGGCAATGCTTACAATTTTGTTGTTCTTTTTCCTCAGACTTATCAAGTTCTTTGTGCCGAACAGCAATGAATCTGCTTTTGCTTCTTTTCCAGTTGCAGATTTGGGACACGGCAGGTCAGGAGCGTTTCAGAAAGAGCATGGTGGAACACTACTACCGCAGCGTCCATGCCGTCATCTTTGTGTATGACGTCACCAATCTGCCCTCCTTCCAAAGCATTCCTGAGTGGATTGAGGAGTGCAGCAGACACTCTGTGGGGCCACTGGTGCCACGCATCATAGTGGGAAACAAGTGTGACCTGAGGGAGCTTCGGGAGGTGCCCGCCTCTGCTGCTCACTGTCTTGCAGACAGCTACAACTTCCCCCTTTTTGAGACCTCGGCCAAAGACCCCGCTGAGAAGGAGCACGTTGATGCCATCTTTTTAACTTTAGCTTATCGGCTGAAGAGCCACAAACCTCTGAGACTAAAGCAGCTGAATGAGAGCTGTGTCACAGAGCTGAGGGATCAGAGAGAACAGGAAATGACATCTTGTCAGTGCTAAGGTCAACTGTGGACTCATAAACTGGACAAAGGCTGCAGCCGCCATTAAAACATCTATTTCAAACCAATTTTGTCACTTAGTTACTGAGCAGCAATCAAAAATTAAAAAGACACCTTATCTGATGACCCAAAAAAAACAAAATCGGATTTTTACGTTAAGCTTAGGGTCATTACAGCAATGACCTACAAGTTTCAGCAAGGTCGAACCAATATTTCTTCAAAATGCATGAGTGAATCTGAAGATGTGTCAAGAATTTGCTATTTTGAAGATAATGGTCAATGAAATTAAATGTCAAAATCGTTCTCTGGAAGAATATTGCTCCGTGATCCAATTACATTTCACACTGCTGGACAAAAAAAATGTAGAAAAAATAACAAGAAATGTTGAAAGGCAGATCCAATGACAATGAAACTGTGAGTTAGTTACAATAAGTATTACAAAACAACTTAAAAAAAAAAAAAAAAAAAAATGTTGAAAGGCAGATCCAATGACAATGAAACTGTGAGTTAGTTACAATAAGTATTACAAAACAACTAAAAAAAAAAAAAAAAACTGTTGCTGGTTTTGATTTGTGTTTATTTTCTGTTTGTTTTCATTGCAAACACAGGTCTATGATACTGATATAATCAAAAAGAAGAAAAAAAGGTGCTAAAATGTTGATACTTTTTGGAGAAAATATTAATTATTAACTCTGACCTGCATGTCAAAAAATAAGCCTCAAGGTCCTTGCAAATAACATTAAAACATATCAAACCTGACTGGTCTGTTGGATGTTTACCATTAAGAGAAGCGTAATTCAATGAAATGAGCCTATGTTGTTTTATTTATTAAGTTTTTTTTTTTTTTTACGTAGCTAGATCTGTAAGTTGAGTTGTGCATTTCTACCAATGGGGAATATAAGCAGGAATGATCATAATTAAATGAATGTGCGTCTATTCGGATGAGTAAATCTACAGATGATACCACAGCAGTAGGACGAGTTTGTGGAACTGGAGGTCAAACAGAGAATCAGAACAAAGGAAACAATCTAGTTGAGTTTTTGACCCGAAGGCAAAGCTTTTACATGGGCACCGTTCCGGGAGAGACAGTGGATGGCGTTTAATTCATCAGATCTCACATGATCACTTCAATTGCTTGAAAAACATCACTGGTATTGTGGAACGGGCCATTTTTTTTTAGTCTTTTCAAACCTGGATTAAGTTTTTTTTGCTGCTTTTAGTGCTTTAAATATTTACCAATCATATATAAAAATAAATATACCAGATATGTTATGTTTAGTCACTAAGATTGATGATACATCACATTAAAATATATATATTTTTTGCATATGAGCTTGAAGAAGAGTTAGATATGTTTGTGTGTGGAGGATTTATTCATGCACATCATGAACCTTTAGCTACATCATGGCTGAGAAAAGAAGGTTAAAATGCCCCCAGAATTTTGGATAATGCTAACAGTTCATGTTATTTCATTTTTATATAAAAAAAATTCTTTGTAAAGACCCATTAGGGCGATTAAATAGATCTGCGGTTTTAAGCTGTCCACTGCATCTCAATATTTGACCTAATTTCAGCGGCTAAAGCTCGCCTAGCAACAGACATGATGGTGCATTTAGGAAGCCACGTAAATTATTTAGCTTTGTAAAGCATTGAAGAATATAAATATATATACAAGTAAAAGTAGTATCGTCAATAGTATAAATATAGATGAATATTAGCTCTCTGTCATTTGGATTGGCTTTCCTCTCAGTGGTTTAGAAATTATCTTAATAAATTCGTAATCAATTGCCGTGTGTCTTTTTACAATTTCTTTTGTGTATTTGAACGCATCTCGGTAACCGAGGGTTGTCCGTATTCACGCTGCGTCTCTGCGGCCATGGTAACACTTTGCCGAACGTTCGACTGCTTATTCATAGAAAACTTCGCCAACAGTCTCTTTTTATGCAGGTATAATTCATACTTTCACTAAAACTGCGTTTTTAAACATACATTCCGCGGTGTGTGTCTGTTGTTTTTGCCGGCATGCTTGGTAAAACACTATCTGGGTGGGGAGGGATTGCTTTTGACGGTCAGTTGAGTGTCTGTCTGGCCGCAAGTTAGCAATATGCTAACACCAAGGCGGCTTGAACGCGTACGTGACGTAATTTGTTCCTTAAATTAATGTCTCCTTATTTGTTACATGCTTGCTGTTTGTGGAAAAACTAAAAAATACGGCGTTAACATCATAAAAAAATAAGTGTCCCTGTTACCAGCTAGCTTAATTATAGTGTAGCAGGTGTTCTTTAATTGAATTACCTGAACGTAAATTATAAATACATACACTTGATATTCTTATAATTCACAATAATAGTAGGCCAGGGTAGACTTTTAGATTTATCTGATTTCTCACGCTTTTAATGCTTGTTGGCTCCTCTGCAGGTGTGTTTAAAGCATGAATTTGGCAGAGATCTGTGACAACGCCAAGAAGGGCCGTGAGTATGCTCTGCTGGGGAACTATGACTCCTCTGTGGTGTACTACCAGGGCGTGATTCAGCAGATCCACAGACACGCTCAGTCCCTCAGAGATCCAGCACTGAAGGTCAAATGGCAACAGGTCAGTCAGCCTCCCGCTTTATTGTGTTGTGGCAATCTGACATTGCAATAAGTATGGAAACTGAAACATGTAATATGGTTACCTTTTATCTACACATGATTAAGATGATCTTTAACCACAAATGACAATAAATCGGCTTAGTTTCATCGGAATAAAACTAATGACCAAAGTATACATTCACATAAATGTACAAAAATGGAGATTTGCATAAGGATAAGGCAAGGGTGATAAAAGTTGGTGGGGACACTCTTAGGATAGTGGCTGATGGACCTAATGAGCTCAAACATATATTTATTGAATGCTTTCCTATTGTTGAGAACACAAGAGTACCACAATACACTGATATTTATAGACAGATGCCTGCCTATAGTGCTCAAAAGCTGAATAAAAAGACGAATAACAGCCGATATCCGATGCCAACATCAATATATCATCCATCCCTAGTATGGACACAACTTCAGTTCCACCCATGCATCCATGCATGGCTTCCCTTTAAGCTGCATCAGTGATTATCCTCCTTCACAAGCAGCAAAATCAGATTTAGAAATTTGTCTCGTATATTATTGACAGCCAATGTCTATATATTGAACCTTATATTTCAAAAGTCATTTATACACTGATTTTTATTATTTGTGCTTGTAGGTCTTGTAGGTTCCTTATATTTTAATTTTAAGTCTGTTTCCTGTGAGTCTGGCTGTCTCTGGGTTGCTGGCACAGCTATTTCTGAGTCTTGTTGAACTACAAAAGACAAAAAGATATGTTGAATTTTATTATAGTATAGCGTAATTTTTCTTGTAAACTTTTGAGACTTGTCATTGCATGTTGCATATCCCAGTAAATCTGTTACACCCTTAAATCTGCTGCTCTCCCTAATTGTGTTTCTGCTCTGCTTAAAAACAGCATTTATGAACCTGTCTATCAGTATAATGATGCCTGAGAAAATAATTTTCAAGATATCTAGAAGCTCTGCAGTCTGATTCTCTGTTCAATAAGAAAACAACAGATATGTGTTAATTTTAATCTGTAACTCTGAGTAATGGTCCTCTCAGAAGCCCAGCTTTTTAAAATTATAGAAATGTACACTCTGTTGCCATTTTTAGCTGAAAAAGCCCCCTATGTGTAATGAAAGGATTTTTTTCGGTGGCATCTCTAATTCTTTTATTCAACCCATCTCCTAACTTTTACTGAAACGTATATCAAAGTATATGCCGGTTTAAATTGACTGAGTGCTGCTGTGTCTCTCCTCCTCCACATAGCTACTCTGTACGCAGTGAACAGCGACCCCAAATATTATGTCGCAAAGCGACAGATCTGATGATATTTCAAGAGGTGGGCTTATAGAGAAACGGGAGAGTGAGGAAAAATACGGAATCAAAACGCTCTAAACACAGACAGCTGCACCCAACCCCAGTTACTGTTGGCTAAAGTAAATGAGCAGAAAGGGGGGAAAAGCAGAAATTATTGATGGGAATTGTCCCCTCCGTGCCAGAGTTGGTGGGGACATGCCCACACCCATCCTTCAGAAATTTACGACAGTGGGATACGGTCATTTTAATGCGCAAGACGTGCAGAGCTTCTGAGGAGGTGATTTTAGTTTTCTAGTTGCTTTCCACTCTACTCAAGAAGGACACTTTTCAATAAAACAATGTAATATAAAATTATAATGCATATTAAAATGAACTGGCATGCAACATCACAGGTTTCGAAGGAAATTATGAGTCTTTATTGTACCAACATTTGTGCTAGAATCACCCTTTACTCAAATTTTTTTTTATTTACTTTGTATTTAATCACAAAATAGATATAAATAAAATCTCTGCCTGCTCCAGATGAGATGTCCACATATCAGATGAAACAGAAAAATGAACAGGAGTTAAACAGGAGTTTAACCTTTTATGTAAGGGACTAAAAACCCTGGTCAGTAGGCAAATTATAGTTATAATCATTCAACTGATAATAATTCATTAGTTTTACCCTTGATTTGAATGAGGTATTAATTAAAAACGTCCAGTTCTAGCTATTTAAATGTAAAGTGGAGGATGCTCTTTTTCTGAGTGGTTCATCAAAATAAGTGATCCTCCTAATTGTCAATCATTCTAGAGATATCTTTACAAAGGGCTGTCCTGTGTGGTCATCCCGATTTTCACTTACCGGTGGCGAGTCTGAAATGGTGAAAAAATTGCAAATCTTTTGTTTTGGAAACTAAGCTTGAATGAGCGACGCAAGCAGCAACAGAGCATGCACGAGGGGAAATGGGCTCATGCATGCTCTCGCAGATGTTTAATAGGCGTTTTCTCTCGGGAGCGGGTACAGGGTTGTGCATGTGCATTTTTGTTGTTTTAAGTGAAGGGCGGGTCTTTTCAAAAATTCGTGAAAATTTCATAATCTTCTGGTAATCTCTCACAACAGCTGTTATTTGGGAGGGCATTCGTCCAGTTCATCACGTTTCATTTGTAGAAAATAATTCAGACTGGAAGATATTTTAAATACATCCAAAGGTACATGGATCAAGCCAAAAAGTTGATAAGAGGATGTCTTAGTTACAAAATGTTATGCATCAGTTTGATATAAATGTATCTCATGTGATCAAGTTTTCAAGTCAGGTGTTGAATCTGTCAATTAAGCGTAACTTTTTAAAGCATCAGAATGTTATTCCAAACACTGAGCTTTATTAGGGCCAAACATAAGAAGCCCTTATTCTAACTCAAAGATCTAATGCTGGTATTTACTCTCCTTCATTCTGTGTGTGAGCAGCTTAGACAGGAACTGACTGAGGAATATGAGCAGGTGAAAGGCATCATGGGAACACTTGAGAGCTTTAAGTCTGAGAAGCCTGTCAACATCCTTGCCCCTCAGACAGAGGAGAGAACAGAGGATCCAGCCGCTTGGCCCCCACCCATCCCAGCAGAACACAAGTGAGCAATGTTGTAAATAGATGTTTGTTGTTTCTGATAGTCATAGAGATAAAGCATAGTCAGCTTTATCTCTACAGCCAAACTACATTTATACGTGTAAGTAATTTCCTGTCACTTGCATTATCACTGTTTTCCTATCAGAAATGATCTCGCTGGTAATGTTTAACCTTCCATGTCTCTGTTTGTCTCTTGTGTCTTTATAGGAATCCTGCTGTTGTGAAGAGGCCTAACAGTGCGGTGAATAAGCAGAGGAAGGACTCTCCAGGTCTGCAGCACCGAGGAGGAGGAGGAGGGGGACGCGCTCAGGCCAACTCTAAAGGAGACCGGCAGGGAAACAGAGACGGCCGGGCTGCTAAGGCCAAAGATGATAAGGTCAGACAGCTATGTTTCATTCTGCAAGGTAATGGAGGAAAATAATAACAGAAGGAAATATGTTAAGAAAAAAAACTTTGTAACATCAGGGTAAAAAACTGGAAGCTTGTGATGCAGAACAAAAGAAGTTTGATAGTACTGGATATGACAGCGACTTGGTGGACTCACTGGAGAGGGATATTGTCTCCCGTAATCCTAATGTGCACTGGTAGGGCGGCACACACTGTTTCATGTGGTATTTTTACACATTCTATAATTGGGAAAGTTCTCTATTTCCTCTGATCACTGACCTTTTTCTGTATACTCTAGGGAGGATATTGCTGATTTAGAAGATGCCAAGAAGCTTCTGAGAGAAGCCGTAGTGCTGCCCATGTGGATGCCTGACTTTTTCAAGGGGATTCGTCGACCATGGAAGGTAGATTACAGTGTTTTGCTAGAACATGGATATATAGAATATATCCCTTTGACTTTTCACACTTTTTATGTTACAACCACAAATTTACTTTTTTTCCCCCCTGATTTTTCAAAATAAAAGATTACGATAGACCCAAATAAAATGCAACCAGTTAGCTTTACGTTCACCCAATGTTAAACAGAATGCAGCTGAGTGCAGTTTGGTTTCAATATAAATGCGGCTCATCTGTAAAAGCATCAGATGTTTCTTAGCAGACATCCGTAGAAAAACAGCATCATGAAATCTGATGGACACATAAGACAGGGGAGGGCTGTTAAGCATGGCTTTGCTTATAAAACAAAATCCCAAAGATCTTAGAAACCAAAACCTACTGAGACAATTCACCTAAACAGATTAAGCAAAGAGAATCGAAGGACCTAAGAGGAGTCATTTAGACCCTGGGGAAGCTGCAGATTTGCAGCTCAGATGGAAGTAGCTGAAACTTCTTTACTTTTTACCAATCAACCGATCCAGTTCTAGATGATTAGATAGAGAAAAGCCATAAGGAACTCTGCAAAAATGTAAAAAATAGTTATGTAACAGCTAACCATCCTAAAATATGCACTACTTGTTGGTCTATCACATAAAATCTGTGAAACGGTTTAAACGGTATAGATGTATTTGCCAGACAGCATAGCTGAAAGGGATAAGCACACATAGTTCACATTAATACTCATTAATGTGTTTCCATTTATTTCATTGTTTACGCAAATGCTTTTTCCACGGTCATCATCTGCCTCTTACTTTCATCATGCGCTCCCCCCCAGGGCTCTCATTAGAGAGTCAATACTTAACTTCTTTTTTTTTAAGAAAACACAGTTCTTATTATTGTTGTACTTTATGCACACATGGGAAACGTTTCTCAATGAAAACAAAGCAATGATTATTTCTCTTTGAATGAGGAAGTAGGAAGACAAACGTTATAGAAAAATAGAACGTTACATTTGCTTTAACTTTCAGCATTTATGACTACTATGCTGCTAGTTGAATAACATAAATCTGTGGGGCCTTGCATACATACAAACAATACTGATGAGTACAGGTATTTGCTTGCTTTCATGTAATTCATGTTTAGTAATCAGAATCATAATTGTATTTAGTTTTCTTATTTTAGTGCAAAACTAAGTGTAACTTTTTATTTTTATCTACTAAACTTGCTTGTTACTGTGCTCTTAGTTGGCGAGTTTATTTCTGTTGAAAATGTAGAGAAATTTTGTCATTTTGTTAATTTTTTTTTGTACCCAAACAATAAATCGGTGGTTCTCGATAGGTGGCCTGTGGTCTTCACCCGGCACACGAGCCACATATTTGTGATAGGACATTACTGCTGCAGCACAAAAGGCACGTTTTTACTTTTACCTTCAGGGCGGTTTCTCTAATCGACTCTTCCTCAGTGGAAGGAGCCTAGTTTGGAAGAAAAAAATGACTTGGTCAAAATGTGCTGCAAAAGGTGAAGCCAGCTGTGAAAACTCACAATTTGTAGACAAGTAGAAAAATGTGTCCTTCCTCTAGCAGGCACAAGACTGATGGGCTTTTTTCAGCAGGATCCCATAGCTTTGGTAAATGTTTCAAATTTTAAAAGGCATTAGGAGAGCAAGTGTTGGCAGTTCAGAGAGAGATTTTTCTCAAAATTCTGGGTTAAGCCCCTGTCACACCTTGACAATTATGCCTGACGTCCCAGAATCTTCTAAAACGCTGGCATACACTAAACTTTCTACGTATTTTTTCAATTTTGGGCACATACATAGCGTATTCATAACAAGTCCAGAAGTTATGTCTAACAACTGCCTAACTTATGCATAACACACAGCAGCGTAATATCCATGAAATAATGCACAAGCCTGTGTCCTGAGGGGGGCAGCAATGCGCCCGGCCTGCATAAAAAGCACTAAGATATTCTACTAAACGCCATTATATGGTATCTGTAAGTCCGACACACGTTCAGTCGTCGGTTGTCTGTCAGATACGTTGATATATGTTGGAGATAAGTTCAAATAACTTACCTGTAACTTATGCCCCAAGTATGAGCATACGATGGCATATGACGCCCTTGCTATATGTCGACATGTCCCAGCGTGCTTCAGTGTACTTAGCTTGCTCATAACTTAATCAGAACTGACCCATAACTTATCCAATCGCAGCGCAGCATTTCTAACTGAATGAACCAATCAGCGTTTTTGCACAGCAGGCGTACACTGACTAAATTGTCAAGGTGTAACACAGGCTTTAGGAACAAAGAAAAAATGCGTCTGAAAGCTGGATTCCTGTTAGATCTTTAACACAGCAGAACACAAGAGGGACACGGACTGTAGAGTAGTTTCCTTTCTTAATTGTTCCTTTTTGTTTCATCTTTTGTCAGTCTGTGTTTTAGCACTGTCTGGTTAGCCAAAGACAATTTTCCAAATTGGTGGACATTAAAGATCTATTCTATTCTATTATTTTCTTTTCTATTCTATTCTATTATTGTATTTTCTGTTCTATTCAGGGAAGGGGTCACATTTTGGATTTTATACTTTTCTTAAATGTATAATTGTTAATTTGCCAACAGATATTCAGCAAATTAATCGATACCAATAAAAAAACCCAGCATAGGTTCAAATGCAGTATTATCATATTTACAGACCATTTCCTTTAAATTGCATATTGAGGAGAACTAAGAGAACACAGCAAGCTTTATCATTATTTTATTTTTCAAATCCTTGTTCTGACCCAACTTTAATAGTTTTGGTCCATTTAGCAAAAGGTTTTGATCCCACCTCTTTAGATAGATCATACTAGCTTGGAGATCTTTTGTTTGTTTTACCGATCAGTGTGGAACAGTCTATCTGATGCTTTTCTTTTTATATCTTTTCCTCCTCAGGGTGTCCTGATGGTCGGCCCACCAGGAACAGGAAAGACAATGTTGGCCAAAGCTGTGGCTACAGAGTGTGGGACTACATTCTTCAATGTGTCCTCCTCCACCCTCACCTCCAAATACAGGGGCGAGTCGGAGAAACTTGTCCGTCTGCTGTTTGAAATGGTGGCTGTTTCCTCAGACTTTTCCCCTGACAAAGATGTTGAATGTTTCCACGTATTGTTTATCTGCATTAAAAAATAACCTTTTTTTTTTTTTTAAGGCCAGATTTTACGCTCCCACAACCATCTTCATAGATGAAATTGACTCCATCTGTGGCAGAAGAGGGACGTCCGATGAACATGAAGCCAGCCGGCGCGTCAAATCAGAACTTCTGATTCAGATGGATGGTTAGTGGCTCACAGGTGGCGAAAGGGATTAAACTACTACTGCTGATGTTTTCCTTTGTTTTATTGTAGTTCTGTGTTTTTCTCAGGTGTCGGTGGGGCCTTGGAGAACGATGACCCGTCTAAAATGGTGATGGTGCTGGCTGCCACTAACTTCCCCTGGGACATTGATGAGGCGTTGAGGCGACGGCTGGAGAAGAGGATCTACATCCCCCTGCCCACAGGTGACCTTTCAACTGCTGCCCAATTTGTTTCACACAAGATTTATCCTGCGGGCTTGTGCTTCAATTATGTTGATCCATTCCTCATAAAGCATCCCCCCCGATGTCTAATTTATGTAGCCGTAGGCCGTGCGGAGCTTTTAAAGATCAACCTGAGGGAGGTGGAGCTGGCTCCTGATGTGGACCTGGACCTCATAGCTGAAAAAATCGAGGGATACTCAGGAGCAGACATCACCAATGTCTGCAGGTTTGTGTGCCATGAACAGATGGTGCAATTCAATGTCTTTCTATTACTTCCTCAATTCTTTTCCTTCTTTATACAATACACAATACATTGCAGAATTTATTGACATGGAAATCTGATGGTTGTGCACTCTACGAAGCTTTATTTAAAGAGGGCTTGCTTGAGTGGTGCAGTGGTTAGCGAGCACGACCCATCTACTGAGGCCTTAGTCCTCAACTTGGTCGATCCAGGAGACGCAGCAAACAAAGCGCTCTGCTCAGATGGAACCAAAATATCATGTGTAGAAAAACTATTGGGAAGTCTTATTCTATGCTCTTTGCTTTTACAATGTAATATTATGTGAATATTTTTAGATTTTATCTTGGCCTGTGATTTATTTTTTGTGGAATATTCAGGAACTTCTATGTTCTCAGTCTCTGCAAAGGATGTTTATTTCACCTTGAAACGCTCTCGTCCTGTAGGCCGTAATTCTCAGTTGAGAAGTGGTTTTAAACTCTTAAACCTGAATGTAACAATCTTCTCTCCTGTATCTGCATCAGAGATGCATCCATGATGGCCATGCGTCGCCGAATCCAAGGCCTGAGCCCTGAGGAGATCCGAGCCCTTTCTAAAGATGAGCTCCAGATGCCCGTCACTATGGAGGACTTCACTCTGACTCTAAAGAAGATCTCAAAATCCGTCTCAGCTGCTGACCTGGAAAAATATGAAGCCTGGATGGCTGAGTTTGGCTCAGTGTAGAAAAAGGATGCAAAATCACACTGTTGGACCAGAGGGTTGAAGGAAAAGTTTCCAACTTTAAAGTGTGAAGGCTTTGAAGAGGAAGACAACTCCAACACTGGCGCCAGTGAGCGCATCAGTGACAATGGAGTTCACTTCAGAAGGCTGACATCTGTGACCAGGCATCATAAGAACGTTTAAAAAAGCTGCTCTTTTATATTTTTCTTTTTACTCTATAATTATAGACGAGTACATCCAACGTCTTACTTCTTAGTGTATATCAGTGATGCTTGTATTATTAAGCTGATCAATTTGGAGTCAGCAATTATCATTTAATAGTCAAAAAGGATGGAAAACTGTATTTTTTCCCCCAAACATTCTTGTTTGGCTCCGTTTCTGTGCAGCTCTCATTCAAAAGGAAAGAAAATAAAATCTCTATGCCACAAATAATCAGGCCTTTCTGCTGATGCCTAACAATACCAGAAACCTAGAGTTGTAATCAAAGTAAAAAGAAAAGACACAAGAACAAATCAGGCCATGTCATTTTAACACGAACTGAAACGTCTTCCAATTAATCACAATCATCACAAGGCCCGCAAAAAAGTGTTCAGCTTTCCATTTACAAGATGTTTTAGAAAGATTTTATTTTATCATAATTTAATATTGTTCTCAGAGTGAAGTATTGTTTTAAACACTGTTACTTAAAATTTCTTAAATCTTTTTTATATGAAGCTTGTCTTACGGAAACACATTTCAGCACTTTAAATGTATTTTCATAAAACCTTCAGGTCTTTACCACTAACTGAATGTTAATAATTTAGTGATATGTTTGCTTTGTTGTGACTTATTTTGTTTTTTGTGCATTTTTATATTTGTTGTTATGACAAATGTGTTAAGAGCGACTGAATGTGTGTGCTGACATGCAGCTTTACTTTTTCTCCAAAATAAAGTTAATTATTTGTTCTTAAAGGTATTGTGGAAGGATTTTTGCGAATGTTTTCAAAGACCTGCCCTCTCCACTTTAAAAAAAAAAGAAAATAGAAAAATGAGCATGCGAGTGCATGCAAGAGCCCATTTCTCCTGGTGCACGCTCTGTTTTGTTGCTGTTCTCACAGCTCATACAAGCTTACTGTGTTGAACTTCCACCCTAACTCCTTAATCCCTCAATCACTATTTAGATATAGGGTTATATAGTAGACCTTAAGCATTCCAAAGCATTCTGGGATATATCTGCCTCTGAGGCCTTATCTTCTCATATCTTCGTAAAGGCTTTTTCTCTTATGGCCCTGTGTGTTGAACTAAATCCTTCACTCAAATACATTTACCGTAAGAATAACTTAGTTTCCTATATCAATTGCTCTTGATTTGAGCAGGTACATACAATGATCTGCCAACTGAATTAGTATGTTTTTCCTTAAAACGGAGATATAATAATAGATTATGAAATAAGGTAATTGGGTCTTTTTTTAATTTTAAATCTCATTCCATTGGCAAACTATCATACTTACCTGCTTAAATTAAGTAAAAGTACACTTATTTAAAGAAAAATACACTTAAATTTCTATTTTTTGTAGTGTTTGGCATGTGTTCTATAGCTCTGCAGTTCCAAATGCAAAAAACCTCCCACAGAAATGCTTTTCTATTAAAGACTGATTTAAACCTTCATCTCATTTTTAGACAAAAACATTGTTGTTTAAGCTTTTTATTTTTTACATGCTTTTAAAAATTGGGCCTTTTTGCTCAAATTATATCTGCCCTCCAATAACACCTGCCTGTTTGCTTAAATCAGTTGAGTTGAATAGTTCCAGACTTTGTTAAGACTGTTAATGAAAATTTCAAGAATTTCCTTATCTTTTAAAACTTGTTCCTTGGAGCCTGCTTCAACACATGGCTGCTTGTTATCATGCATCATTTCTACTGATCTGTGTAATTTTCTTCTGTTAAAAAAGATGTGTATCTATTATATTTAAGAAGTAATAAATCTACACAAATATATGCAGTAGTTATTTTAGAAATCAAAAAGGGAGGCATATCCAGATATTTGCCTGGTATGGTGCGTTTTGTGATGTTTTTTTTTTTTTAACATACTGGATATACTAGATAAGAAAAGAAAAATAAACAGATGTCTAGGAGGTATTTGGCTTGGATACATACTTTTTTATAGCAGGACTAAAAATGCCTTTGTTTTAGGGAAGTCTTGCAATGAAAGTCTGACCACATGGGGGCAGCAAACAATAATTTACTGTTTAATTTTGCACTACTATTCAAGTGTAAATTTAATTTCTCTAACAATATAAACATTTTCTATGCATAAACTTTAATCGTATTAATTCCTCTTTATTACTAATGGTTTTATAGAATATCATTTGTAATATTATCATTCCTGGATTTAATAAAGGGGTGAAGAAATGCTGTAGGAGAAAAGTTAAGTCAAGATAAATTTCGCCATCACCTCAAGAGATTGCACAAAGCAGTGACAGAAATAGCCTTATTTAACTAAACATCCACTGAGATAAAAATTACATTTCAGTTTTAGAGATGTGAGGTTGGGCTATAGCACAGTCTGGGGCACTGATGAATGGTATCAGTGCATAAAATGAAGAGAAATAAGAATCGAGGTCAGAAAACCAGCCCATTTAAACAAGCTCCACAAGCTTTCTATTTAAATTTGTAAGAATAAGATTTTCAAGATTTTAAAAAGTCACAGGACATTCAAATCTGGAGACACACTTAATATCCTTAGAAATTACTGAATCTGTAAAAGGATCATTCCTTCTTGGACATGAACAATGGAAGTTCATCAATAAATGTTTCAGGGTCACTAATAGATCAGACTAGGTGACTGTGAGGAAATTTAGATGATGATAGTAAGACTAGTCCATTTACAACAACAAAGTAAATGGTTTCCATACCCAGTTTATTTTTTCTTACAAATATGAATGATCAAATATTGCACAGTAAAAAAACAATCAGAAAAAAAAACATAAAAAGTAAAAATATGAGATACTTTGAAGAAAAATAGTTTCCCCTACTTCAGAGTGATACATGATCATCAGTCTTTGTTGTTTTCAACCATTTCCTCATTTTGCACGCAGAGAAAATCTTTGCTGAACAACAACAAAGACTAGAACACAAAGTTTCACTCATTTCTCCTTCAGGGAACATTTGGCAAAATTTTAGAGATCTTAACGGCAGAACACACAACTTTTCAGAATAATCCAAAGACAGAAAAAAAAACCCTGGTCCTTCAGATGGCTATGCACACATAATGCTGGTGTCCCGGAGCAGAACAAGAACAATCTGTGGCTCGATGGCATTTTACGAAAGTCCATTTTCATCAGTCCACTGGACATCGACGCTGTCCTCACAGCTGTTTGGAGATCTGCAGGGTTTATACTCTTTTACAGCAAAATTAAGCTGGAGGAGCAGCTTGGCGAATTAAGCAGAAATCCTTTCTGCCACAGTCAGTTCAGTTTGGCACTAATGCGTATCCACTGAAGAGCCTGCCTGGTGTATTGGACAGCATGAGCAATGCTACTGTGAAGAGTCAATGGCCCAGATAAAGTATTCAAGTAGTTGAAGAATTCTGTAGAGAAAAAGATAAACAGAGACTCTAAAACCTTTCAATATTTTACATGTGTGTTAAATGAGGTATATAAGCATAAATACAGATCCTTATGACAATATTGACAGCACTTGAACCTTTTTCCTATATTGCCATGACATTACCAATTTCAATAGGGTTTATTGGGATATCATGTCACAGACTAGCATTAAATAGCAGATAACAGTGAGACGCAAATATGCGTAATTTTAAAAAGCATTTTATAACTGATCATCTGAGAGTGCAATGACAGAGACATGCAGGAGGACGTCTCCACCAGCTTAGCACATTTAGAGGCTGTAATGTTCACCCATTCATCACAAAATAGCTCAGTCAGTTAAAAAAATGTATGATGATTTTTTCACTTTGTGATTTTCTAAGGTGGAACTGTATATTTTCTACCTTTATTCTCCATTGCAAGGTTGTCTGCCACTTCCCAGTACTCATAGCTGTACAGGACACTGTTGGTGATGTTCAGGTGGTTTGCTGCCATCTGGTGGATACGTTGGGGGATGCTTATAAGGGATGCAGTGCTGCTGCCTGCAGTTGAACCCCGTCTGTGGTGTTTTGCAGGGGGTGATTGTGAGGACAAGAGTCCTGTTGTAGCCCTGGGAGTAGTGAGAAGAGACCAACAGTCGGGGAATTTCAATCAGTATAATTTCAGAGGCTGAAATAAAGGAGCCAAGAGGAATAAACTTAGAAGACTAGTTATTATCCACTCACTTCCCAGAGTCCATCCATCCAGGTGGCGTTGTAGGCACTTTGGGAGAACTCTATATAACATCAAAAACAAAACTTAGAAATCCACCCTCTACAAAAGTTATATCATTCTACCAAGTTTAGTGACTTTGTGTCATTGGATATACCTTGAAATAGTCTAGCAGCACTTTAGAGTACTTTAGTGCATGATCTTTTTTTAAGCGGAACATCTGCCAGTAAAGGAGGGCAAGGCATCGAAAGCTGTAAACACAGACAGACCGCAGGAACCGTTCTCAAAAGGCATGTTACTTGTTACAGTCACAGATGTGGTATTAAAGAGAAGATGACAAACGCACCACAAGACAGCCAGCTGTTTGTCTTCCTGTCTTGCTCCAGGGCCAGAGTGACTCTTTAGCCTCATAGCGTACCTTAAAACACATAGTTTGTATTTATTTATATTTTTGTACCTCAAAAATTTCAACCAACGCCTGTTTTCAGACTGTTAGCCGAATCAACTCACCTGATCAACTCAACTGTCTCGGAATACATGGTGAAAGGAGACTTTGCCTCAAGTGGCCCTTCCTCCATCGCCTTCCCACATTCCATAAAGGAAAGAGCGGCATCAATGTAGTTGACTGCTTTTCCCAACTTGTCCACCTAAAAACAGCATAAAAAAAACACAAAAAAGGATAATGAGGTAATTTTCAAGGGATATGAATTAAGCCTGCTTATATTAAAGCTGCAGTAGGGAGTTTTGAGTTTCTAGCCCTCGCTCCAAAGCTCCTTCCCCGAAGTGGAGCCTGCTATCAACAGCACAGGCTGGTAAACAAGGCTACCAGTGACAGCTGATTAACGGCTATGGCACAATCACTGGTAGGGGACAAACATTAATAATATGCTTTAAATTGATGCATAGCTGCAGCGTATCACCAATCTTGAGCTTGAAGGACAGTATGCGCTGTCCAGGGGCAGGGTGTCAGCAGAGCATGCATGATTGACACGGCTAATACATTTCCTAGGGCTCTGATTGGTCGAGTATTTCTACAAAAAGCAGTAAAGATAAGACCCCTGCGGGGAGGCAAAGGATCTTTTTTTTTTCATAGATTATCTCTCATAGATTATCTTTCATATGTTACCATTAGTGACAAATTCCGCTAAATTCCGCTAATATGTAAAAAAAATTTTAATAGTTTTATAGCTACCTACTGCAACTTTGAAAGGTTGCAAATTCAAGGTTGTTTTTCTTACTTTGTAAGTTGTTTTTTTACAACAAGAAAAAAACTATATTTATCAAAATAAAAGCCTTGCAGCGCGTAGAAATAAATCAACTGATGTCATCAGGAAAGATTGTCCAATTTCATGTTTTTAAAACATGGTTTTGTCAAAAGATCTTTAAGTTCGAGACTATACACCATGTTAGTTAGATAATCCATAAATTCTCCCACAATAATAGAGATCTAAAATGCAAAAAATCTGTTTCTTAATGACCCAGCGATTGTCATGAGGACCCCTTTTGTTATTTAAAGTGAAGATGTGTTGTTATGGTTAAGCACTGCTGCTTTGATTCCATAATGAGCTCAACCAACACACTTTTATGGTATTATAAAGTAATAAAACAAAATATTTGTATGTTTCTGGATATTGCATTACAAGTTTTGTATTTGCTGCCATATCAGTTTGAAACTGATATGGCAGCAAATGTGAAAAAACTCACCATTGCATCAGCACGATGCTTCATCCGTTTAGCTTCATGTAAGTAGTATTCAGCATGGTGGGAACTATGAGAAAATCAAACATGCAAAATGAAAACCTTGAGATGTTTGGTCAGCAGTTTGATGGGAAAGTTGCACAAAGGCTAATTTGTAGTGCTTACATTTCTTTGTTTGGTACAGTCCCTCTGTGACCAGTGGGTCCCCAGGTGGACTCTGATGGTGCCTGCGGCTGAGGCTGCCTTGATACTTTTACACTCTCCACCTCCATCTTAGGCTGTAAAACAAATTGCTAAAGTAAAACCATATGTCTCAAAGAGCAGAGAGGTCTAAACAAATGTGTTGAGATATCACCTTTACAGCTACATCTCTGTTCTTGTCTTTGGTCTTCTGTGAGCGTGACTGCTGCTGCTCAGTCGTTGTCTTTGCTTTGGCTGGAGGCTTGGCGGGTTCAGGACTTTGGGGCAGTGGAGACAAAGGAGACAAGGGGGAAACTGGCCTCTTGTTGTCCAAGTACTCCTCCAGATATCTTTAAAGAAAGGTATTTGCATATCTCTTTCACTTTGCAAAATACATCATGTCCACCATACTTGATGCCACACATGATAATAATATTTAAAAACATCAACCTGTTAATAGCTGCTTTTTGGCTTCCATCTATTTTGTGTGTGATGCACTTTGAACACTGCTTGCCCTTCAACACCTGTCCCTCTTTGGACTGGCAATCATAAAATGGATTGTTTTTAACTAGATGAATACATACAGCTGTTTTTGAAAGTTTAGACACAATCCCATTGAAGAAAAGGCTAAATAGATTGTTAAAATATTACTTTTTAAACCAAGTACTGTATAGGTTTTATACCTTTATAGTTTGTTTGTTTTCAAAATGCGCATAGAGTATAAAAAACTACTCAGATTTTAGGGATGCTTTGATTCAATTTAGGGGTGCTTCAGCACCCCCAAAACTGGGTTAAAAACACCTACTCTGACCAAAGTACCTGGTTCCAGTTAAAGCAGTTTGTGATAGTAAGACAGAAATGGCCTTCACTTGCAAATCCTACCACAGACAATTTAAATAGTTTGATGATATGCAGAGTAAATTAGTAAATTTCAATCATGATGTGCTGTAATTTTTACCCATTGTGTACTGTCTCGGTGACGATGTTCTCAGTTGCTAATGATGAAGGTTCTTTCTGCCCTGGGGCCTCGCTTGGATAAAGAAGACTCCTCTTGGTTTCTTTCTGTGTTATGCCATTGTCCAGCTGGTGACAAACCAATGAAGAAGAAATGGGGCAAATATTTCAGTATCATTAAAATGTCTGACAAAATACTCTTTGTTTAATGTCACTATGTAAAAGGGAAAACTATTTTTTTACCTTACGTTTCCTCTTGCAGTCTTTGGTGGAAGTCTCATGATCATAAATGTGTTTCATACTCTCTTTAGGCTTTTCCTTATTCGATGGAGCAGATATGGAAGGGGAGGATTTTTTAGGGTTCGGGTTTGTAGGGCTTTCTGGTACTCTCTTGAGAAGACAGAGGTCTATCTGCACCACCAGATTTCTTAGCCCCCGCTGGGCAGTGGAAGGTGTTTTTTCCCCTCGCCCAAATGGGACAAGTGTGTAGAGCCTTTGCTTTGCCTCACTTTGCTGCCCCTCGCATGAATTACCTGAGCTTGCTCGTCTGGGGTATACTGTCTTAGGCTTGGTGGTGTCAGGTCTGCTTGAAGCTTGGTCTCCTGTTTTGGGAACTCTCCTGTGAGAATTGAAATCATCTGAAACCTTAGCTACAGAAACAAGACTTTCTGATTCGGAGTCCGAGTTGTAGGGGGTTGTAGAAGATGATGATGAGGAGGACTTGAAAGATCGTATTTGGGGAGTTGAGGAGTGTGTGGATAGTACAGGTGATAAGTCTTTTGGTACTTCTCTATCCTCGTCACATCTCCTTCCCTTTTTTGGCCTCCCTTGACAGTCTGAACCCTCTCGAGGGAGGTGTTGTTTGTGGTTAGGAGGCACTCGTTGTTTGACTGTCTTCCATTCTTCCTTTGCATGCTCTACCTTCCTCCTATGTTTCCCTCTTTCTTTGTCCCTTTTCACACCCTCGTGTTCTGTTGCTCTGTCCTCCTCTTCCTCTTCTTCCTCTGCCGAACTTTGGATTCGACGTCTTAGTAGCTGCTCCTCCGCCAGCCTTCTGTCTTCCTTTCGTTCTACTTTCCCCTGTTGCTTTTCAAGGTGAGGTCTATCCTCCTTTCTTTCCTGTATTCTCCCCTCTGTTTGGGAGAGATGAGAGGTTCTCTGATCCACTTCCCGTTCCTTAGATGGGAGCTTCCTTTGAGAGGTTTTGGTATGGCTTACATGTGTGAGTTTTGGCTCTGCAGGCTTCCACAGCTTTGTCCACTGTATAAGGTTAGGAAATGGTCCAGTGCTTGACTTAGTAACAGAAATGCTAGTAGTGTTGCAGGTAGATTGGGAATGAGTACCGGGATCTGTGCTGGTTTCTCGGCCAGTGGGCACCAAATGCTTTGATCTTTTGGGGCTGTGGCTTGAAGGCTGTTGAAATTGTGGGTGTGGCTTGGATTTGTATTGGCTGCTTTGGGTTTGATCTAAAAGTGTTGACTTTTTATTTTTGTGAGTGTCAGAGAGCTCTTTAGTTCTTGAAAATGAAGTAGGCTTGGGTGTAGGTTTTTGGTTGAGATTTGGTTGGGATTTTAAAATTACTGATCCCTGCGACTTCCTTTGGCTTTGAACTTGGCTGTGTGTGGAGTGATTCTTAGGTTTGTGGTGATACAATGCTTCAGGATGCTTGTGACTTGTGGGCTTACTCTTTGAACTGCTGGTAGGTAATGGAGGTATCCATGGTCTTATTTTAGTCCTGTAGGGGGTAGACGTTAGAACAGGATGTGAATGCTTTTGGCTCTGATCTTCCAGGTAGTCAAAACTCGAAGGAGCAGGTAAACTGGGACTTGGACTTTTTGGGGGATGTCTTGGTATAGGGCTTGGGCTTCGACTGGTTCTGGGTGTTCCACAGGGACTGGGACAAATACTTTGAACTGGACTTGGAGGTGGGCTATGCTGTGGACTAGGGCTAGGACTTGGACAGGTGCTGGGAAATGGGCTGGGACTTGGACAGAAGCTGTAACCAGGGCTGGGAACTGGGCTGTTATTTTGACTGTAACTGAACCGTGGACTTGGAATGGGGGTTTGGCTTGGGCTGTACTCCTGATTGCTGTCCCATGACCTGGCAGGTGATGGGGCTCTCTGGCTTATGGGAGAAACCTGGGGTTCTTCAGTAGTTTGAGAGAAATCTTGATCAGTCCTGGCAGATCTTTTCTTTGACCTTTCCAGCCATTTATCTAATTGCCATTGGGTAGCTGAACGATGATCAATCTTTAGATAACAAAGAAAAGAAAGACAAATTGACACTCATGGTTATTTTCAATTAACCTTTGCAAACCATAAGGCTGATACACAATGCAATGTTGCTGTAGGGACACATTTAAATTTTCATGTAAGCAAACAGAAATCTGATTTTACATATCCTTACAGATCTTGAGCCATCTATAATTTGTTGGCTTTTTTAACATATTGCTTGTCAGTTCTGTCCTTGACCATTTTGAAACTTGTACTCTGGAATTGTTTTATTATGATGATTAGCTGGTAAATCCTTTAGTTTATGTTAGAAAAACAACACATTATGGACACTTTATGGGAATTCATAGTAGTTTTGATTATAAAGTATTGGAACTCGTCACTAAACCCATTTACCTACAAATAAAGCTGTTGTTTTATCTTCGATTTTTTGTCTTCTGCATTTCTAACAAGTTGTGCAAAAAAAAAAAAAACTGTACTCGTGAACATAATTTTCTTATCTCTTAAATCTCTTTCCCAAACAGTCAAAGTATTTTTTTAACCTTCATGATGAAGTTCACACACAAAGAGAAACCAGTTCGGCTGCTGCAACCCTTGTTACATGTTAAATCTCATGGTGTTCAAAGCAAGGTACCAAACTTCTAAGGCAGAAAAAAAAACACTGTACATTTTTTTTTTTTTTGCACCCCTATCCTTCTGCATCTGAAATTATATACTCTACAATCTGTAATATCAATGAGTCAGTTAGAGACACACAAAGAGCAATAATGTCAGTGTTAAAATACCAATTACATAGAACTGCTTTGTATGAAAACATCACCTGCAGGACTAAGACTAAGTCTAATTAAGATTGTAGCTGTATTTGTTGAGTCAGATATATGTTTAGAGATCTTTGCTGCCCTGCAGAAGCTCAGTTTAGAACAATATATTTGCCACTGAAGCAAATTGGATCCAGTAGCATCTTGTTGAGTGAGTTCAGTCATACTCAATACTTATAAAAATGATGGAATACAAAACAAAACATGTTATTTTATTGAACTTTTTACATTTTGTACCACAACCCAGTACAAGTCTGATAATTAAAACAGAAAACTGAATTGTTTCAGTTATATACCCCTAATGTCCCTATTAATGGTATAAGTATTGTCTGACTATATACAAGTTATTTAAAAACACACAGGCTTAATTTACACATTCCTGCTCTGATTTTCTTAGCTAGAAATCACAGTAACAGTTTGTATGTTTGTATTTTGTATTTGTTTGTATTTTTTTGTTAGGCTTTAAATATGCACCAATTAAAATGCAATAAGTTCAAGAAAGGCTAAAAAGTAATAAAAGAAACGGCTAAGGGCTCAGTTACGCCTGTGTCTGTTTGAAAACACATAGCATCTTCTTCATTTGAAATAAGGTTAAATTAGATCGGACTATATCGCCACCTGATGGTAAAGTGTACAGGTGCTAGATTTTGAGGCTGATTTATGTATTGGTTTTTTTTTTTTTTTTAACTTTGAAAAACATTTCACCTTAAAGACATACCATGGATACGTTAGCTAGGTCTTCAATGCATGTAGAATAACATATACCAGCAATATGTTCCTACAATTTTATCTTACACGTATACATACAAATATAATGAAGGCAGCAAACACTCTTTTGCATGTAGAAAAAATTACAAGATATTTTTAACTTCACAAAATTAGTACTTCACATGTATAATTAAGTGTAGGAGGGCTGTAAGTGGTTGAGTCTTTTAACTCTGCAATATTTATAGATAAACAAAATTATACTTATAATAAACCATGTTATGTGCCACATATATTTGAGAAAAAATTCTCAAGATAAACAGAAAAGAAAAACAATTTTATCTCTTTTGGATGTATAATCAAACAAGCAAAAGTCATAAACTCAGTATCACTCAGCTGCAGTGGACTCACTCTGAGCTCCCAGTATAACTAAGGCCTCATTTAGTTAGTCAGCTAAATTCCTTCATCTTACCTTAAAATGAGTTTAAAAGGCAAAGTAATTTTGAGGTTAAGAGAAGTTTTTGCTTTAATTAAAGAAACCAAAAAGGTACTCACAGCTTGAGAGCAAGCTTCTTTTTCTCTTATGGTTCACTTTTTCAGACTAACCAGGCAAGCTAAATTAAACTTTGACTCTGTAAGTCAAACAGCGACCCCCTTCCCCACCCCTCCCTCCGCCTTTACCTCCTCCCCTCATGTCTCGCTCTCTTTTCAGAGAAGACACTACATCTCTTGTAACGTCTTGACTACCCTCCCTGCCTTTTTTTCTCGCTACCTGAAATTCTTGGTTTTTTGCCTCCATAACAGCTGCCTCTTTTTTTTCCTCTAAAGGAGACACTCAAACACTCCACCTAAATGAAATACACATGGTTCCCCCCACCCTCCCTTCACATGCTGTAGGGGCCTAGAGTAGCATGTTCAGTAATACAGTCTGCAATGTCACACAGGGCTTTCCATTCATAACAGAAAAGCAGGTTTCCCCCCTTCATTGCTTACATAGTGCACACCTCAACCCCTACAACGCCCCACATCTCCAAATGCTTGGCACATCATCACTTTAGTCTCTAAACACCTATCTGCAATAGATTCTCCTACACATTTTCTTTTAAACATGTCAACATAAACCAGGTTCTTGATAACTTCCACCCCCTAGGGCTTTTCTCTAGATTCAGGCTGTTGACATCTCAGTGAGGCACTAATTCACAAAGTTGCCCCTCAACCTCCCAGTCATAGGCACTCCTCATTCCTCTGGCCCTCCCCACACCTGCTGTTGACCACCTCATGCCCAACCCTGCTCCTTTGGAGACAAACCCAGGAGGATAACTTCATGGACAGCATTAAATAGGAATGAATCATAATCCCATGGCGGCTGTTTTCCTTACCTCTTTGTTGTTGCACAGTGGCTGCGTGGCTGCAGGCGACGAAGGTTCTGGGTGAAGTTCTGGACTCAAGCTGCGGGAATGAAGGCTGCTTCTGCTTGACTCTGCAGAGGAGTCTGAGTCGGAGGAGTCTGAGCTGGAATGTCTCACCCTCCTGCTATGTGTGTATGCTCGCTGAGCCGCCAGGCTGTCAGTCAAAATGGGTACAAACATCACAGACAGCTCAACGGAGGACCTGAGCCAAGTGGAGCAACATTACACATACTGACTTCTAATCTAAAGTCCCAATAAAAATTATCCAAGCAGCAATCAGTAAAAGTACCTGTGTCGCTCCCAGGAAGCGGACTCATGAATGACCTTTAGGGATGCAAAAACAGATACATATCATCCATCAGAAAACAGGAATCTTTAAGAGTAAATCAGGGTCAAAAGTCTTCATTTCAACATGCTTAAAACACAAAAAAGTTGAAGTGAACCTACCCTCTGACTGTCATCTTCATCACTGCTCACCTTCAGGTCATCAGCAAGCATTCTGTGAACATACATGATGAACAAATCTGTGTATCTGTGAAGTCAGCGTCAGGCAATAATACCACTAAAAAGCTCAGCAATGTTTCAACCGTTTCTTTTATAAATCTTTTATTCGTAGTTGGTTTAAAGTTAATCTGCATATATCTTCAACATTGAATTTAACCCTAAACCTGTACCTCCAAAACATGTGCTTTTTGACCTAATCAGTTATAAATAGCAGGGGGACCTCCCTGTAAAGAAGTGACAGTTTGACTCAGACAAAAAGAAACAAAGTTTAGCACGTATAGCCCAATCCAATAGTCATTAATAGGAATGTCCTTATCCAATATTGATATAGATATGATATATTGATAAATAAGCCTTAATGGAAAATCTTAAATCAATTCAATTAAATTTGAAAATAAAATAAAAAAATCTTCTTTTCTTATTAGCTCAAAAAAGGTTGACTTTGTGACCTATGAAACCTCTTTGTGATGACTTTCCATTTAATTTGCATTCTGTATTACTGAAAATACACATTTATGACTCATTTACAATTATTAGTACCAATGTTGAGGGATCAAATAAAATGAAACAAAGGAGAAGAGCAGATGTGTCAAGTAACAAAGTAGAAATACTTTGTTACTTTACTTAAGTAGAAATTTTAGTTATCTATACCGGTACTTTACTGTAGTAATAATTCTTTAGACGTTTTACTACTCCTTACATTTTATTTGCAATTATCTCTATTTTCTACTCTTTATATTAAAAAAAAAAAAAAGACTCATTAGTTTTGTTTCATTTAAGCTTGTTTTTCTGATGTTCTGTTGGTAAAAACAAAACAAAACAAAAAAAACATCAAAATAATTTGTTTCATCCAGACAATTAATTTCTTAGTGGTTTTACTGCACTAACTTGTTGTTCACCACATACTAAAATAAATAGTTTTTCAAGATGAAGCAAAATTAAATTTGACACTGTTGCCATTAGATATAAAACTAAGAAAATGAAGTAGGAAGAAGTTATCATTCAGAAAATTTTCCTAGTCTAGTACAATAACCAGTATAAGGTTTAAAACATCTGTCCTAAACATATTTTCCTGCATTACCTTAACTTTTATACTTGAAGTAGTTTTTGTACATTTTACACTTTTGAAATGAGTAAAAAGCTTAAGTGAATACTTTAACTTCTAGAAAAGTGCTTTAAACAGTAGGATTCAGCCTTCTACTAGAGTAATAAACATTAATACTTTTGATTCCTATGGAGAAGAGACACAAAAAAGGAAACAAGGAGACAAGGGGAGAGAGAAGGATGCAACTTGGGATTTGACTCGAAGGACAGAAGAAAGGAAAAAGGGGAAGGAAGGAAGGAAGGAAGGAAGGAAGGAAGGAAGGAAGGAAGCCATAGATGGTCAGGAATTGACTATATTAAATAAAACTTTCTATTTTATATAGTGCTTAGGAACCAAAAGCTAAACTCTCTGGAAACTTTACAAAACTCCAGAGACTTTAGTTTAAAAAAAAAACCTGTGAGTAGTGTTTGTGAAGGTTCAGTCGTTTTTATGGAGTGCTGGAGAACTCAAAATAGCAGTCTCTACTTGGAAATAAATGCCAATTTCTTCTTATCAATTAGAATTATGCTACCACCATAAAAGACTGATGTGTCTGAACTTTAGCAGATGTTCCAATAAAAATATCAGTGACCATCTTACACCAGATTTTAGAATCATTAATATTTTCTTTGTGTGTGTGTATATATATATATATATATATATATATATATATATATATATATATATACACACACACACACACACACACATTTATTAGCTAGATAAACGACACTCAACATCTTGGAAACAGATCATCTTTTAAAGGTGACCTGAATGTAAATAAAGTTTAAATAAGCAAATAAAATCAATGTTATCAACAGTTTAGGTGGAAAGATGTTTTTTTTTTCTTTTCTTTTTTAAAACAAAGCTTGTAAAGTAAAGCAGAACATGCATTTGGCTCCTATCCTGAGAACATGTGTTTCAGATTAAAACCAGGATGTAAAAAGTTAATAAACAGGAGCCCATCGGTCTTCACTGACAACTCTAAGGAATGTAAAGTAACCTTTGACCCCAGCCATTGCCTGAAACACAGGTTGCCTGGTTAACGTAATGTATCCTGTTTCATATACGTTCCTCCGTCTTGATCAATTTACCTTGTAGCTGTTCAGATGATAAAGATCATAAATAAGTTTTAAGAAGGTAACACAGGCAAACAAATCAAATAAGTGGTAATTCCTGCACGTGGCACAGCAGAGGTTTACGGTTCGTGACCCAGGCCGGATCATATTTCTTCAATACTTACGATTTATGAGGTGCCACATAAGGATGACGAGCCATTCGCTGCTGAGGATCCCCACGACCTGACAGCAAAGGAACAAAAACTGTTAACAAAGAGCTGCTTGGAAATCATTACATCAGACAAATGTGCAAATTTATCAGGCAGTAAATACATACTTTGCCTTTGCTGTACGGCTGAATGTCTTGCATCCTGGGAAATAAAAAAATAAAGAAAAATGTATTATTTATCTTATGAATGAAATACCATTAACATATATAAACGCTCTGCCTTTCTTTAGATATAAACTGAAAACATCACAAAGCGCCCTAGACGTACAGTAACAATGATGTAATGGGCTGTTGGATTCAAATTCTTCAGAAGTTTGATGCTGATTCATGGAGAAGCCAGTTTTCCAAAATGATCGGTATCATTATCCTGCTGGAAAGCAAAGTTGTCTTTGTGTTACAACCATCTAACCCAAACTGACACCTTTAGACGAAGGAAAATCAGTTGGGGTGTTTAAATACATCCCAGTAACCACCAAGGCTGCTGGAAAACCAGGATCTCTGTCCACAGTGAAGAGAGTTTTTCATCATGGACTGAGAGGGTGCAGACCAAGAAAGGCCAACGCTCCAAAATCAACTCTGAAACATAAAGCTAGGAGTTTCTCAAAAGGACAAATTCCTTCTGAAGATAATGTTTTTTTTATCATAGGAGAGAAAAATACTAAACTGATGGGGGACAACAGAGACGTCTACATAGTGGTACTGGTTCACTGGACAAAGTAGATGTTATACTGAAGACTAAGTAATGTTGGGGGATGCATATATTTCAGTCTATTCTTCTGCTGTATGTGCTATGGTCACCTTAGTTGGTTGATTTAAAATGGAATTGGAATAAACTAATGAATGAATGAATAAACCAATTAGTATTATTTCGAGAGGAGAACAGGATCAAATGTATAAAAGATTTACTTTTGTATGCCCAATTCATGGCCACACAAGAGTGAATTGTTATTGTTTTTAAATACATAAGTTGTTTTTTCATTCTTAATGGGGAAATAAAACAATTTAAATCCACTAATAAAATCCCTGAATTACTTTTACATAAAGCACTTGTAGCGACCATCAAATTTCCTCTAATTTTGGTCGCTTCTGGTTGCGGTATATCCAGGTCCTAATGCTCTCAAAAGGCAAAGTCCAGGCTGGGAGATAAGTTTATTATGCACACACTGAATACTGAATGCGATCCAAATTCCTGGATGGTGGTCTATGGCAGCATGCAAAGGAAATGGTGATATAGATCAATATGTGGATATAATGAAGGAAACCAGTATATAAACAGAGAGCGTCCCCAAAATTATCTCCCAGTCTGAACAATGACCTTTGAGGACCTGGATTTCCCACACCCAGAAACAACCAAAATTAAAGGCAATTTGATTGTCGCTACATAAAGTAAAAAACCCGACCTTTTGGATTAAAGGATGTGCCCCTTTATGAAGAACAAAACTCACCTAGAAAAGTTGGGGCATGATCACCTGCCTGGCTAATCTAGAGGACAAACAAAGGAGCTATGCAGGTGGGCATGCTCCAAAATTTTCCAGGGGACTTTTCTTCCTCATAAAGCATCAAATTGCCTCTAATTTTGGTCGCTTCTGGGTTTAGGAAATCCAGGTCCCAACCAGTTCAAAAGGCAATGTCCAGACTGGGAGATAAGTTTGGGAACGCTCCCATTTATTATGCACACTCTGAATACTGAATGCGATCCATATTCCTGGGTGGCGGTCTATGGCAGAATGCAAAGGAAATGGTAATATTCATTAATATGTGGAAAAGATAAAGCAAACCAGTATATAAAGTATATAATTGCCCATAATTTGACACCTAAATAGATTTCATCTACAGCTCCACCAGTGTAAGAGCAAGAATATAGGTAAGATAAATAATTCACATACAAACCAAATACCGCCACCTAACCAAACCAATGCATTGAAACTAAATGAGATATACTCAAACTATGCCCAAACATAGAAACTACAAATGTCTTCTATAGCATTAGTGCACCTTAACTTCTGGTTTAAAGGATATGTTGGGGGGAAATACTTGGCTAATGAAAATGGGTTATTTTTTTTCAGAGTTCTTTGTTAATTCAAAGAGGTCAGAGAATTTAGTACATAAAGCACAAAATGGGTTGATGGCAGGAAACTACTTTAACTCAGGGCTTGTTAGCATCAAAGCCACTCAGCTATTTAAAAAATGCTATTGTTTGTAGTATAAGAGTCATTATGAACATTTTATTATTGGACGGTGGAAGTAGCAACAGGTTTTTGTTTTCTGAATCTGTGCCCTAATCCAGCAGAAAATTTGTCAGTTTTTGGAATCAGACAAATTTTCCTGTTGATTAGCTGAATGCATAAGAAAACAAGTGGCACTGATGCACTTTGTTTAAACTATTTTAATTTTTGCGCCACATTCAAAGATCGTGGCCAAGATAACGAAAGCAATCTACTGGATTTTCCTAGAAAATAAACATTGATTGGCCTGGAATGCATTTTTAATATTAATCTGTTGATATGTTTTAATGAATTGGATCTATTTCCCTTTAAAAAATGCCTTAAGAAGACATTTAATAGTAATTTGCTCTATATAGGTAAACTGAATTTGATTTATGTTGCTAACCTTTAAATATATTTTCTTACCAATTACCTGTCAAAGTTTGCACAAAAGGTGCCAACCCCCATAAAAAAGTATTCTGACAAACCAAGCGTGATGATGAAATCTGGTGAAGTTTTTATTTTGATAAGACAACCAGAAACACACACATACACACCTTTGAGTTGTAGATGATTCGCTGAGCTTGGTCGCCCCCCAAGGCTTGCTGGGATTGCCAGGACTGAGTCATGTCCTGTGCAACAGAAAGATGTCTGAGGTTAAAGGTGAGTGGGCAATCATAACAAAGGAAACCACGTTGAATTGGCCTCATTTGTCTTTTATATTGGACTGACTCTGGCCTCCCTTTCACAAACAGAATGGTGATCAGCATCTGACTCTCATTTATAGCCTTGCTTCTCCCTTGATGATCCTTTATGCAGACGGGTGTTCACTTTATGATCTAGTTCAGGTTCAGAGATGTGAATTACATGCTTGAAGTGGTTGTGATCAGTGGCTGCGTGGTAAACAAAAAAAAGAAATAGCTGCTGCGTGCACTTGTTCATGTAGCCGTGCATGCAGCTCCGTTTCTGGAGACATAAGCTGATCACACAATGAGGGGCTAAAAGCCAGTTCTCATAAACATAAAGCAGAAGAAGGGAAGTTTTTGAAATAAGCTGTATAAGTGGACCTGGGAGCCACTATGCAAAATATATGCAAAATCTAGAAGTAGTCAGTTGGATATTATCAGCTTACAGTGAAGCAGTTAGTGACTCAAGACTCATGCAAACTGCTCCCAACTGCAGTAAGATTAAAAAATAAGAAATATAAAGAGATAATTAATAATTGACATTAAATAATCTGTATTATTTTGGCATTCTGAGGGGAAACCCACTTTAAAAATCAGACCCCCTGCATTGCTGCATTGAAACAGGAAACACAGCTGGTATCTACACAAAGTATCTTCTTCTCGAGGTGTATCAACTGTCATAACCACATAAAAGTGGTCTATTTGTGATTATAGTCACCTACAAAGAAAAGGAAAACAGTTCTCATTGGTTGAAATATTTTAAATGCAAACAGTTGCCTGAGTTAACCATATGCACCGGGAGATATATGCAGTGAAATCGTTGCATTCGATTTTAGAACTGATTCTTTGATTTCTTTTCTCTCATACTATATTTTAAGTTTCAAATAGATTTTTGGCCCCTGAATGGGCACTAACTACTTATGGAGAAATAAAAAGGATAAAAGTAGGGGGGAAAAGGCCTTTATAACAGTTATCCTCTATATTCTCTGTTTTGTTTTATTTATGTTATGTGTTGTTTTTCACCTAAATACAATATCAATCTGATACATAGGAGTGCAGCCAATGACATGCTGGTTAACAGCAGAACAAACATAAAGATAACAACAGGTGCCAAAATAGAAAAGGTTACTTCCGAATCAATTTCAGCTGCTGACAATTTAATGCCCCTCCCCAGAGAAGATGAATTTAAAGTCTTGAAAAAAACGCATTGATATTTCAAGTTGAATCATTCTAAACTATTTCTATGACACAATATTGTTGCTTTAAAAAATATGTTTATTGATAAGGTCTTGTATCCATTTTTTTTACCAGCTATGCCAAGTAAACATATAAAAATGCTAAAAAAAAAAAAAATAAAATAAAAGTGCAATTCTATATAATACTTCTGTAATGATAAGGCCAGCAGAATGATGGGGGAGCAAAAATGTAAAAAATACTGTTTTCACAAAATAAAATTACTTTAGAGGTTATTTTTTACTCTGAAATATGACCCAGATGGACATCATCTAATCAACAGTTTATCGATTACAGATATTAAATATCGCTGCACTGTAAGACTTGATAAATACGTTTAACTCAAATGATACGTGAAAACCTACTGCCTTAATTCAAATGAAAGGAATAGAAAAATGCAACTAAGTAAATTTTATTTAATAATTGTGTCAGGCTAACCTGGGTATTAACATTTCAATGTTCCGTCTTCTTCCCTAAACCTAAACTGAACATAAGACTTTCCAACATTCAGATGTAATTTGTATCAATAATAAATCAATTGTATTTATTAGCGCAGAGCCTCATTAACATATGAAGAATCTATTTTCTCTGTATTATATTTTCATTCAAGAATTAGCATTGAAATTACTTCCTTAGTCTACTCAACAAAGGTTAAGCGCACATATTTATCTAACTAGTTTATTATAATGTTGAAAATTATTTTTAAATCAAAAGCAACTCACTCGTTGTCAAGAATCTGGCATTGATGGCTGGCTTGATTGCTCATTTCATTCACCTGTCTAGCTCTGCCCTGTTCCTCATCACTCATCAAATTCACCAGTAACAGTTTCCTATTTAAGCTACCTGTTTCCCAGCCATCAGTGCCAGATCATTCTTGAGCCTTTGGTGTTGAGTGTTCTTTAGTATTTCTATAGTTTTCGGATTGTCCGATCCTGACCTGTGTCTGTATTTGGGCGTACCTGCCCCTGTCTGATCTGTTTGCCTGGCCTGTCTTCGGACTCCTGTTGGATTCTTCTGTGGACTGAACCTAATCTGCCTCTTGACTTCGCCCTGTGGTTTATCCTGTCTTCCTCTGTCAGCTCGGATCTTATCTCCTGTCAGCACTGCAGCCTTCCATGCTTCAGCGTCTGGAACTCTTGGACAGCGTCCGCTGCGTCTGTTGAGTCAACCAAATGGAATCATCCTTGTTCTCTGGGCTTGGACTGAACTGTCAGATCAGGTTAGTGACTCGTACATTCAAAATCATCCTGCGTCAGATTATCACAGTCATAACCTGTTTTTCCCTAGCCGCTGCAGCCGCTGCAGCCGCTGCCACTGCAATCAATCCATCGTTGTTTGAATAAATGCTTTTGAAATAATCCACTGTCTGTTTTGTCTGAATTCTGGGTCCTACTTTCAGAGCCATTACACTCATGGTGTTGCAGCACTGACCACACCCACTGTCACCTAATCAGCCAGTGAAGTCTGCACATTTGCTGTCTTGTTAAAGTTAAGTTTTTCCTTATTAAGTTATTTAAGTTTTGCAAAATGAACATATAAATAATTCATAAAAATCCATCAGACTGAGTTAAATGCTCATGAAAACAACAAAGATGCTACTTTTAATGTTTGGGTTTACAGTGTGTGCCAAACTGCAAGAAAATTTAAAAGTGTTATAATTTTTTTTCTAACTATTTTCTATATTGTTTCTATATCTCAGAAACAACAGTAGCACAAATTATCTGTTATTTATTCATTTCATTTTACAAAGAACCATTCACAGTGCAGAAACCTGCACTAATGAAGCAATAACCATTTAGTGTATTTGCAGAGTTTTTTTAGCGTTCGTGGGGTGTCAGCTTCACGCAGCAGAAGCTCCTCCTCTTTGATGACACCATCCAGGGTGTAAACACTGTGCATCTGAAATGCAGAGCAGTGAACTCCCTGCGGGACTCGCAGAAATCACAGTCTGAATCCACCATAACAAGGGGGTCAAAGAACAACTAAATATTTTTGGCCCAGATAAAATGTCAATACATTGCGAACAAATGCTGAGATTTGTGTAAACCTCTGAATATAAAGAAATTAAAAACAGGAAATTCAGCTTAAAAAAATACCTCTAGATCATAAAGCACTTAGCAAATGGATGTACTTTTGGTAATCAAAACTAAACTAAAACAGGAAAAGTTTAGTTTGATTAAAGGTCAGAAAAGTGTTTAGATGACCTTGTGTCTGATAAAAGCAAGTACTGGTGAGAAATTTCAGCAGGTCTCTATCCAGTATAGAAGTAAACTGGCTTAATTGATGGATTTACCCCTGGAGCCTCTTCCACAAGTATAAATGAGTTGGTGTTTCCTTTCTGACAGCAGATTCAGAAGAAGAAAGACAAAAAATGAAAGGAATTTCTGAAGATTGGGCATCCTCCTCAGACAGACAAATTAGAATTGTTTGCTGTTGGTGGACGTAAAAAAAAATCGGAGTTTTGGCATAAATGAGTGGGTTGCTGTGCCAAAATAAACCCAAACAGGATGACTACATTGTGTGTTATTTACCTAAGTTTTTTTTTATTTTTTATTTTTTTTATTGTTGTTAACCCTTTTTACCCTTTATTTTTTTCATCTTTGGAAATTTGATGTTGTACTTTTATTTATTTAGCAATTTTTCAATCTTTGCTGTACAGATTAAGTTAATGATTTATTTAAACGATTCCTCCTGCTTTTCTTCTGTATTTTAGTATTCCATACAGTATGTAGGTACTTTCTACTCTGAGTTGCAGTCTTTGGTACAGTCGTTCTCTGTAGATCTTCCTGATTTATTTAAAAAAAACATCTTTACTTCCTTAAAGACTTTGCTTCTGTTTTTCTTTTGTCCCTTTTTTGGTCCGAACCTTGATTATTTCTTATGGTATTTTTATTTATTTTATTTTTCTATGGTTCTGTTTTTCTGATTCCCTCAGTTGCACCGTGTTATTTATCAATCCTCGTTCAGTAATCACCCCTTCAGCTTAAGTATCTCCTCAGTTGCATTGCTATTGCAAGCAACTTGTGTCCATATAGTTTATAGGGTTTTTAAACTATTTTTTTCAGTTTCCAAAGAATCTGTCTTTTTTTTTTTTAATCTAAATAGGAAGAGCATGGAATGGGCTCAGTTTGGGGATTTTTTCTCTCCAAGCAGATAAAAATGTCTTTAACTCCCAGGGGAGTTTGAGGTAAGGGTATTTGGGGCTGAAAAATCCTCAGTATTTTTTGAACCTGGACAATTTGCGAGTGTCCCCCCGCCCTCTCTCCCACTTGTAGCACTACCCCTTGGAGGGTAAGTGTTTCCTCTCTGTGCTCATCCTTTTCACTTCATTATCTCCCCTTCCTCAGTCACCAAGGACACAGCACCAGCCCTCCCTCTTTCCTCCTCCAACAACAACAAGCTCTCCCAGGTGGAATATGTGTTGCCATCTTCCTCCTGCTCTTTTCCTCCCAATCTTTTCTACTCACTGAAGTTGATTCAAGCAGAGAAAGAAATTATTAACATGAATGAATATCTCATTAAATTATCCTATAATAAGTTTATTTTTAATTGTTAGATTACAAATAGGAAACTTTTACTATTCATTACACACAAAGTGATGTACGGTATATGAAAACATTTGAAATTAAATGAAAAAGTGAAATTCAGTTTGCCAGTCATAGGAAGCTTGAAAATTATACTTTAGCCAGTTACTGTCACGGTAGATAATCTGTGACAAAGGTGTTGCTTATCAAGATGTCTGTTTACTGAGTGCCGTATCAGAGCATATTGTAGGAAAGTTGAGTGAAATGAAGAAAATGTGATCGAAAAGGTGCAAAATCAACAGGGTAAGATGCAGCTTGGAGACGTTTTTGAATAAAAGCTCCTCCAAGAATTTGAAGAAAGTCTTACAAATAATGGATTCGATCCAAATACTGCAAATCAATAAGAACTTCTAAGCCAAAGCTGAATCGCATCGGCCTGGATAAGGGCTGTTTGAATTGTACTGGCAGTAAGGAAGGAGGTAGGAAAAGGAGTCCCTTTCCTTCGTGGCATAGTTTATTTAGCATAGGAAGCTCCAAAAATTCCTATTTGGTGCTTAGGATCTAAAAGGAATCCCAAAATCCTTTCTATGACATGACGCACCGTTGGTCACTTAACTCCTCCTCCACCGTGCAGTGCCGGCGCCATCTTTGTTATTAGTCGCCGCTGTTGGGTAGCGACAGCCTATGGTGACAGCGGGCTGCAGTGACAGCAAATCCCATAATGCTTTGCAAGGTGAGCTAACCGCACAAATCATTCCGCAAATCATTCTTCTGAGGCCTTGCTTTTCTTCTCGTTCACTTCGTAGACACTTTTTCTCTTACGACCCTCGGCCATTTTCAAAGAAAAAGATAGCAAACGGAACGAGCACGTGGGACGTCCTTACGTAAAATTATCACCAGAATGATTGAGGATTAGGAGGACCACTTGTTTAGATGATTTATAAAAGAGAGTTTCAGCCATTCACTATTTCATTTAGGCTTTTTTTGTAGTTCTTTTTTTGAATGTTTGACCAGCATAATCTTTGTGGGTTTCTGTCACATAATGACATCCAGAAGGCTAAAGGCAGTCTGAATTCAGTTCCTTTCTTACCCCATTGACGCTACAAAAGGTGAAGGAACAGGCGCTAGGAGCAACAGTTTGCTGTATTTTCAATCAGGCATGGGCTGAAGTTTGGGTCAGTGCTTCTACAGCCACCCGCAGATGTATTAAACATCTGGGATACAAATGTTACATTTCATGTTTTAAGCCACTCCAACTAAAGCAGTCTACCTGGGCTGCAGAGAAAATAATCAAGAATGTTGCTTAGTGATTACTTTTTAAATCAAGGTCCCAGAACCTTTAGGACAAGTGGAGAGGACCAGAATCCAATGTCTATACCACTAATGAACCAACTTTATGATGGCATTGTAATTGTTTTAGATGTACCTGTATTTGTGTAAGGAAACCTGAATCAATAAAGTTTAAATAAATATACAAGATGTACGCTTTTGAAATCATAAGAAGAAACATTCACCATCTTAGAATTCGGGTCATGAAAAATCTGTGGATTCACTGATGCATGAAACCATATAAGCTGCCGCTTGTATTTCCCTCCCTCAAAGCAACTACAGCCAGATCAGTTTCCCAAATGACTGGAAATTTGCAATATTGAAACAAAGCGAATGTGAGGGAAATTGCAACAAATAAAATTAACCTCGAACATAAGTCGATTCATTTAGAGACAATAGTGTTGTCATCGTAAAACAAGTTGTTCTAATTACTACTTCTTTATCTGCTCCTTACCTCAAGAATACCTCTGGTGCAGAAGTTGCTTTGGCCTCTTTTTCCCTGTACAAACCAAAGGGTTGAGAACTTTATTTTAAAGGAGCAATGCAACTAAAAGAAACTTAACCCAGGCACTTACAGGGAGCTTAGTGCATCTGGGAGTAGCTTCAGATGCAAATTTCAAATGCAGAACACATTTACGCATGACATGCTGATCAACGAACAGCGTAAATCACAGAGTAAATAAACCATCGGACCAGTTATTATCAATTGTTGCTCACCATCTGATCTTGCAGTCTCTATCACACAGACAGTAAAAAAAACCTTCACCTTCGCGCCTTTTTTAAATCTTCTGCATTCAAAACCCACTGTAACACATTTACTGTAACTCTGAAAGCCTCTCTCTCTCTCCCTCACACACACCTACACACACATGCATGCACAGTAACTGTGAGTCTCTCTAAAGCTCGTTGATGACTCATATCTTAGTAATCACAGCTGCAGGATGATCAGCCGGATGCCAACACTGAGGCAAGCTACTTTCGGTTTCCACTTCAAATGGTGAACTCCCTCTCCAGTGAATGAACTCAGGGGTAAAGGTCAGAGGGAAAAAAATGCAACAATTATGTTACACTATAATGTTAGCACTGTCTGCGAGAACACAGATGATCCCGCTGTACTGATCAACAAATAACGCTTTTAAATGTCTATTTATTCCAGGGTAATCCTTATGTACTGAGCAGCCGCATATACAGCAATCAGAATTGTACGGTCAGCTGAGTGATTGACAGCTTGCTTTTGAATTACAAAAGTTAAAACACTTCTGACAGAAGTGTTCACAGCACCTTGCCATTTATCCATGTTATTTTTTCTGTTTTGCATGTGACCAACAAAATAAAATCCATCCATCCGTCTGTCCGTCCATCCATCTTCGCCTGATTAGTCCTGTCAGGGCACATGCATTCTATGGGCAAGAGGCAGGGTACACCCTGGACAGGGAGATTATGCAAACACCATGCAGAAAGACCCTGGTTCAGGAATCGAACCCAGAACCTTCTTGCTCAAAGTCAATAGCCACCATGCAGCCGATAAAATAAAATGTCCCTTATTTATATATTTGGCCCCATTTACTTTATATTGTGCATGTCCATAAAACAAAACGTGTTATTTCGCTAAATATTTTAAATATAGGAAATCTGTTACCATTTATTTGTATTTCTAGGTTTTTAAATGAGGAAGAACGTAAACAGTGTGGATTTTCTTTAACAGGATGTTGGTATTCGTAAATAATTATGCGTTTAAAGAGATTAAAAAAAAAGAATCTAAAAACATATTACTGGTTATTACTATGAGATCTTTTCTTAGAAAATCAACTTAGAGATTTTGTGAAAAATCGACAGAAGATTCCAACACAGGCATATGTTATTATACTACATAAAAAAAAAAAACTTTAGTTGGTTCTTTGACCACTTTTAGGAGCCACTGCAGAGGTCCAGAAGATGTGGGTTGCAGGCGCCTGATCTAGTGCAAGCCTTTGCTTTCAGGAGAGGAGAGAGGAGAGATTTCACCTAGGGGGTAAATAGAGTCCACTCTCTGTAATTTCACATCTGCATAAATACAACTGTTCTGTGGACGCGTCTGAGAATTGTTAAGAAAGATTAACGGGAAAACACCATCATGATGAATAAGGAATGCATGAATCCACAGCTTATGTAGGAGAAAATATCAGCGGTGGAACCGTCTGCTGTCAATTCCACGACTCTGATCTTATAATTGAGAGGCATGAAGAAAGCTATTATTTTTCTACATGTCATGGAACAGACTCAGCAAAGTGCCTTGATCAAATAAGAAAATATGTACTACTTGGTTTATAATATTTTGAGTTAATAAAAATGTACTCTTAGTATTTGGTATAAATAGAGTTGGCTGCATCATGCTGTAAGGATACTTTTCCTGATGTGTCTGATAAAAACCTACACAGGTTGGCCGAATGTAAAAGCATGTCATAGTTTTATTAAACTGCATATAATTTTCCTTTTACCATAAATCTGCACGTTACTGGTTTCCAAATATTGATAAGATAAATACACTGTAAATTGGTTATTTTAAGTTATGAAAACTTTTGCAATATGACCTAAATTTTCAAACTTTGGAGGCCTTATCAGGTCTCAGGCATTAATTCTAAAAGGTAATCATAAACCGTCAATATTTCAGCTTCCTGTGCTTCTGCACATTAAATAAAATTTGATTCAGTTTTTCCCCCCTCCTCATTAATACATCAAGCATTCATAACTGCAAGAGTGCTGCAGGCTACAACTCTGTTGCAATACCCAAGTGTGTTTACCCCCCACACTCCAGGGGCCAAACAAACCACAACCCATCATAACACCTGCAACAATATAGAAAATAACCAGCTGTTGCCTTCTTAAAGTATTTCCTTTTACTAAAGCTATGTTTATCAGTTGCAGAAGCAAGTTTATGTTTAAAGCAGAAAATTAATTATGCTCAATAAGTAAACATTTCTTCATATTTAGTAATTTTTCTAGCATTTCTTCACTACATTCTGACAGTGATTAGTTCAAAATAAATAAAATAAAATAAAATACAGCTGTTTAGATCCAATTACAGTCCAACCACTGAATTACAGTCCACGTTTAAGAAGTTCACACATACAATATATAAAATAACTTGTTTCTAAGATGTATTCTTATGCCGGTTGCAGCTTCTCACCTGAGAATATGTGTAACGGAGTAAAAAGCAGACAATGGAAAGTTTCCCTTTGCCACAGAGGACAGTAGGCATGGTTCTTGGATGTTCAGTGTCCTCCTCCGGTGTCCATATCAGGGAGGACGCGCGTCAGTGAGCTGGCTTCTTTCTGGCCGGGCTCCTCTCTCTCTATCTCTCTCTCTCTCTCTCTGCGTGTCCGTGGGCGCTCTTTCCCCTCCCTGCGACGGACGGACACAGACGGGTGGTGTAGGCGGACCGGGAACGTCACAGATGACGGAGCTTCACGCGAGGGGATCACGACTCTCTGGCTGCGATCACCGTCAGTCCTTGGTTTTATGATAAATGATGAGGGTATCACGGCAAACGTAGTGATGGGAGGAAACGTGTGAGGTGTGCTTTTTCCCTCTCAGGGATGCACTGAAATCATAGCCATGTTTTTGGAGATAAAAATAAACATGTGAAATGTTTATTTCTGTCTTATTCACTGAACATTACTATATCAAGGGGAAATTATAGCATTTAACCCAGGGGCAGAGCTAGATGGGGGGTCAGGGGTGGCCATGGCCACCCTCAGCCAATCATTGGCCATCCCTACCATTTTTTCCCACTAATACAGACAGTGGCAGCAGTAAAACTCTCAAGTGGAATGTTCAAAGCATTTTAATTTTTCATATAATCAACAATTACTTTACAACAAAAACACTGTTGTTAATTATGCGCATCAATGTACTAACATTAGAGATGATTAGTACTGAATTAAAGTTCTTTTCAGAACTAGATTTTGTGTTTTATGGAGTAAAGAGAAAATTATGCTTCTCTGCAAGTCATCTAAGAGTCTTCAGTGAAATCATAGATGTCATGATTGTTTTAAGAGATCTGACCCACATACAGAGAACCACTCAGAGACCAGGGGGAAAAGTTGTTTATTGTTGGGGATGGTTTCACAAAGTAGGAACTGGAACTCAGTGAACTGGTGAACCGGAACTGGAAGGTCTGGAGGGGAGATCACAGTGATCAGTTCAGGGTCCGTGGGAAAATTGACTGAAGCTTGAATACTGTTGAAGCGGGACTCACGTTTGAGGGGTTCTTGTTAATCCTTGAATCCAGTCAGTGTGGGTTTAAGAGGGAACTCGTTGGATAACGGACAGGTAGACATTCGTTGGACCCGGAGGAGCAACGGAGCGGACTGTCACTTGGATTTCCGAAAGGAACTTGAACGGCTCATGTGGAAGTTTTCCCCTGCTCAGTGTGAACTCAGTTAATCCTTCCAGGGGGAGAAGGCCAGACATCCAGGTACACAGGAAGGCTTCCTGCCGAAAGGTAAAGACAAAAACAATATTAGACTCAGAGAAACAAAGGCTCAGGATAGACTCAGCTAATCTCAGCTTGGCTAGAGTAATTCCTAATTCCACATTCATCTGAGCCAGTTAAGCTTCAGTCGTTGATAAACAGCATCTAGTGTGTGTAGTGCTTATAAAATTTGTATAAATGTAGCAATAAATGCTGCTTTTCTCTTTAAATGAAATACACCCTGATTTTCACGTCAAGCATAAAAATACGATCATTCATATTTTGCATAGGACCAATGACATCAGACCAATAGTGTCCCTACCAAAGTTGAAATCAAACCTACGCCTTTGAGTTCACCAGATCATACAAGCAAATTGATGCAAAGTTTTCTTTCTAACGAAAACCAGTTGATTGCATCAAATCATTGACTGAAACGCAATTGCTCACACTAAGCATGCTTGTAGCGACAGTGGAGAGGAAAAACTCCCATCTGCTGAGGCCGACTGGGGCGAAAGCAGATGGGCGCCAGAACCTCAGGGTCAGTCTGCACTGTTCCAGCAGGAACGAGGACAACATCCATATTTTCTAAATAAAGACAAGCTATGCTGCCTTGCAGCCTTTGCTAACAATTGGACACATATGTGTAAACACATAAATAAAAGGTATAGCGGCCAAAATATCTGGGGAAAACGTCTTGTCCATTATCAATACTTACCTACATTTATTTCATTTGTTCTGGAGTGGCCGTATGCATTTAACCCGTCAGCAGAGTCAGCATGGTTTCAAGAACTATCTCAGTTCCAGATGCAGCTTCATGTCTTTTGGGGTATGTCTGTACCACAAGATGGTATTCTAACATATGTTTTTAAGTCCTCATTGGTTTTTCTTTGAGAGCTATCCTGTATTTAGTTTCATCTATCTTCCAAACTCTGACCAGCTTCCAAATCCTTACCAAAGGGAAGCTTCTTCTGCGCAAGAATGCTGCCACCACCGTGTTTCTCTCTAGGGCTTATATGGTTAGGTTGATTTGCAAAGTTAGTGTTCTGCTACAGAGGCCAAAAACTTTTACTGTACTTGTTATTTTCCACCTGTCTATTGTGTCCCACAAAGAACTGGCCAACCTGAAGTGAGATGACTTTCTTTTTTGCCGCCCCATCAATACATTGTGTAAAGTCAAGTCAACACAATCTCTTCCCTACATGTAAACTGTTAATCTAAGCAGCTCCTTCAGACTTAATATTCTTCTCTTGGCTGCATCTCTGCTCATTTTCCTCGTTCCCCAGTCTTAGATTTTAGGTATGACCAGGCAACTAGAGATCTGTAAGAGATTGTCTGTTTTAAACACACACACACAAAAAAAAACATTCAACATAATCTACAAGCCAACTTATTGTTTCAAAAACATGCCGGGATAAGAATTTTTTTTTATGCCACCATCAAAAACGTAACTTTTTTGTTGTTTTTAACTGTTTTGACAGAGCTTATCCACCGTTAAGCACAGGGGAGCACCTTGAATACTATTTTTCTGTTCTCATGAGAACCTGGGAACAAATTGGAAATTGTTAAGCAAAGGTTATTTTAGCCAAATATTGTTTCAAAGCAAGTGGCCAAATAAAAAATTCACA